TGGCTGCTGGACCTCGCACGCGTGGGAGTGACGCCGTTCAGCACTGGGCTAATACTCTACATAACTTAATAGTTATGGCACTAGATATTCAACTATAATATATAAAGTATATAACCTGCTCTATATAACTCTATATAATGCTCTATATAACTTTATAGTTATGGCACTAGACAGTGGTCTTATTATAGTTATGGTATATTACGTGTATATTATAGTTATGGTTTTACCAGCCCCTAGATCGCTTCCTAAGATTCGAATCCTTTTATAATATGATATTTTTCAGAATAATCTGCGATTGCTTTATAGTTGTGCCATGGAGACCGTAAATCAAAAGGTGATTGAAAGCCTCAAGATGATCCTAAGTCTCACAATGTATGCAGGTCCAACAATGACCGTAAGTCCGGCAGTGATCGTAAGTCCCACAGTGATCGTAAGTTCCACTGTGATCGTCTCGCAGTGATCGTAAAGTCCAACAGTGATCGTTAGTCCCGCAGTGATCGTAAGTCACACAGTGATCGTAAGTCACACAGTGATCGTAAGTCCCACAGTGGTCGTAAGTCTCACAGTGGTCGTAAGTCTCACAGTGATCGTTAGTCCCACAGTGATCGTAAGTCACACAGTGGTCGTAAGTCCCACAGTGGTCGTAAGTCTCACAGTGGTCGTAAGTCCCACAGTGGTCGTAAGTCTCACAGTGATCGTAAGTCACACAGTGGTCGTAAGTCCCACAGTGGTCGTAAGTCTCACACTGATCGTAAGCCCCGCAGTGATCGTAAGTCACACAGTGATCGTAAGTCCCACAGCGGTCATAAGTCCCACAGTGATCGTAAGTCACACAGTGATCGTAAGTCCCACAGTGATCGTTAGTCCCACAGTGATCGTAAGTCTCACAGTGATCGTAAGTCTCACAGTGATCGTAAGTCCCACAGTGATCGTAAGTCTCACAGTGATCGTAAGTCCTACAATGACCGTAAGTCCCACAGTGGTCGTAAGTCCCACAGTGATCGTAAGTCCCACAGTGATCGTAAGTCCCACAGTGGTCGTAAGTCCCTCGGCGCTCGTAACGCTCAGGCAGGCAGCATTCGCATCTAAGGCTGCGAGACCGCCTTATGTTTTATCTCGCCCGGCATGTCTTATCATGTGTCTATCAGCCGACACTAGTGGCTTGCTGGTGACCGATGGTGCCTAGTGGTCTGACTGTGGCAAGTGATAATTGTATCATACTAATGGTCGCTGGTGCCTGAAATAATCTGCTTGTGACAAATGGTTCCTAATGCCCAATTAGGGGTTCACAAAAGGAAGTTGTTGCTCTGTAAGACCTGATTTCTCTCTACTTCCAGTTTTTAACGTTTCTTCGCTAATATATTATGTTAATTCAATCCTCACTGTATGTCAATCCTTACCAATTTAACAATCAATCAAGCAATTTACCAATTGCTTGATCAAGTCGTTAGCTCTGGTCTATTCATCATTGAATTAAGCCCAGGTCTTAATTTTAGCATCGAGGAGTTCGTAATTCATCGTGACCGACCAGAGCAAGCACTCCTCAAGATCGTGCCGATCATCGTGGCACTGGCCATCAGAGTCACACTCGCTCCCTTGCAACCCCCGAGGATTCTGCCAACACCGCAAAATACTCGCGGTTTCTCGCAGGCCTACGCCGAATTGCATGGTGTCAAACTTGGACATGCCTCCATGGGGTTTCGTTCCCTCGCCTCACAATAGTGAGACGGCCCCTTTCCAATCAAATTGCGTTAAAACAATGTTCATTACGAGTTGATTTCATGAAATCAACATTTCAATCAAATGAAAAAAAATAATGCAATATTAAGTGTAATTTGTAATTCAAAAAGCAAGTCATAGTTTTGAGAAGGCCATTGAGACAAAACTAATGATGTATAACAAAAGACTTCACCAAGGGCGCTTTGCCCCGTGACACGCGTGGGTCCTTTGCCCCACTATGCATCGTATCATTTCAATTTATATCGTGTCAACATTTTATTTTAAAAGCTAATAGTCTAAACTTGATCTCAAAATTGTCCCTATACATATTACTTTCAAAATATAATTCACAGTAATTTCAAAAGCTTCATCTACAGTAATCGAACACATTATTATTTAGCCGCAAAAAAATTTTTATCTGAGCTAAAACAGTTATTCGCAAATAACTTAATAACGCAAACACTTAGCAAAACGTAAGTCCGTACACTTCATCCCAGTGAAACTGTCGACCGGCGGCAGAGAACACGGACCAATATCTGCCATACTTAGCGAGAAACCCGCTATGGGCTCATGACCCTCAGTGGGCTCGCTGCCCCATGTTACCATATGACCAGCATTTTGATACTGTCGTTGCAATGTCATGTATACCAAGCATTGTTAGGTATTGCACATTGGATTTTTTGTGTGAAGCTAGTGTGATGTACACATTGCCTGAGGCTAGTATAACAAACAGGCTAGTGTAGCATCGGGCACGGGGAGTGCAGCAGCGGACACGGGGAGTGCAGCAGCGGACACGGGGAGTGCAGCAGCGGACACGGGGAGTGCAGCAACGGACACGGGGAGTGCAGCAGCGGGTACGGGGAGTGCAGCAGCGGGCACGGGGAGTGCTGCAGCGGGCACGGGGAGTGCAGCAGCGGGCACGGGGAGTGCAGCATCGGGCACGGGGAGTGCAGCAGCGGGCACGGGGAGAGTCACGGTCTCCCACGTTGCAAGCCTATAACGTCACGGTGCGGCCTGACTCATGGTGAGTGGGACGACACTAGCCTGCGTGGTGGTGGTGGTGTGGTGTGGTGTGGTGTTGTGGTGAGGTGTGGTGGTGTGGTGTGGTGTGGTGTGGTGAGGTGTGGTGGTGTGGTGTGGTGTGGTGTGGTGTGGTGTGGTGTGGTGGTGGTGTGGTGTGGTGTGGTGGTGCGGTGTGGTGGTGCGGTGTGGTGGTGTGATGTGGTATGGTGAATATATTGTTCCGTTTTGCCCCCGAAACGACCCACTACAATAAACTGAAGCACTGCGGTGACTTCAACGCAATAACAGTAACACTGCAGAGAGCTCGATGCTGGCACTGTACCAATCAAAACATCAACTAGACTCTTCATTGTATCGAATTGTCTTTTTTAGCTTCCATCATAACATATGTTGTTGTTTTCTCAGCAAACCGCGGTCTAGATGTATCCCTTAAATTGTATATTTCTCGAATGCGGTAGGTGTTTTGGTGCCTTGTATGTGGTCGAAACTTGGAGTTTAATGTGGCTTTCATAACCAATTGTGGATTTCATAACCAATTGTGGCTTTAATAACCTCTTGTGGCTTTAATAACCTCTTGTGGCTTTAATAACCAATTGTGGATTTCATAACCAATTGTGGCTTTAATAACCTATTGTGGCTTTCATAACCAATTGTGGCTTTAATAACCTATTGTGGCTTTCATAACCAATTGTGTGGCTTTAATAACCTATTGTGGCTTTCATAACCTATTGTGGCTTTAATAACCTATTGTGGCTTTCATAACCAATTGTGGCTTTAATAACCTCATGTTGGGGCATGAAAGACACGCGTATTTCCGAAGCTGCATTGATTTAATTTGGCTTAGTATTAATTCGAATACAGTTGTAATTATTACCTGTGACTTTCCTAATATCTCACAAAAGTCTATTTGTGAAGAATACTAATTTAATTACAAGTTGGCAGCCATACTTCAAATAATGATGTTGTCGCACTATCTTCCACTATCTTATGGTCAATTTCAAACATCATCCGAGAGCACTCGCGTGCACTGGATATACATTATTTATGTGCTATTTTCGTACAATTTCAGAAAAATTAATTTTTTCGTTTTGCATCTGTAAAGTTTTTTTATTTTAGCAAGAATGAAAAAGACCGATTTATAGGGATGTTACTTTAAATCAAAGGTTTGTAAGCAAAACATTGAATGGATTTGGGGTTGGTGTAGAAAAGGTGTTTCTATGCTTCTAACATTTAAAGAACTTCAGAAATCATTATTTAATTTTCCACACCGTAACACCCCGATACAAGTTTTAAAGCTAGGAAATCTCTGACTAATATATCCAGCGCCTATGCAAGCTATGGTGCACAACTACAACCCATGCACCGTAAACAACACTGTGCAACCCGTGCATCGTAAGCAACACTGCAACCTATGCATCGTTAGCAACACTGTGCAACCCATGCACCGTAAGCAACACTGCAACCTATGCATCGTTAGCAACACTGTGCAACCCATGCACCGTAAGCAACACTGCAACCTATGCATCGTTAGCAACACTGTGCAACCCGTGCATCGTAAGCAACACTGCAACCTATGCATCGTTAGCAACACTGCGCAACCTATGCATCGTTAGCAACACTGCGCAACCTATGCATCGTTAGCAACACTGCGCAACCCATGCATCGCTAGCTACACAGCGTAAACCATGTCGCATAGGCCAAATTTTGCTACATATGTACCGTGAATAAGACCGTAACCGTACCGTATGACTTGCTTATTGTGCAATAAATTACAACTAACAATTGCTCACAATAATTCATCGTGAATTATAACACCGTGTAACCAAACTACTCCCCGTGTACCGTGTAACCCATGCACTTCGAGTTGCACAAAGTAAACCATGTGCTGCAAGTGGCACTGTCTCCTGGCGCGCGCTGAGTAGGTGGTGCGGTGGGGGCGTGAAGTGGTCGCGCATCCTCCGCCATGGTGGTGCGGGTGCCAGGTTGCCAGCTTTCTTTTCTTATTCATTTTACGAAAACATCTGCGTGCAAAATTCCATCCACAACTGCCATCTGGCCCACGCTATTGTACGAATAATTTCTGTGGAAACCAAAGTGTCCATTCTTCATTGCTCACGCATGAATGGATTTAGATTGTTCTACATAAGTGAAGATATGATCTCAGGTAATGTCTTCCTCCCACGTCTGATCCGCAGCGCCTGTGCGAAGGAACGGCAGTCCGACATTCGGACAACGAAGTGACTCAGTGTGCGCTAAGACTGTGAGGTGGAAGGTTGCGTGGCGTTCGTGCAGTGACAACACAAGCGGGTAACAACTCGGGTAGGCGCCGTCTCGAGAACTCAATCATACCTTATCGTCGTGTTCAGTTCCAAGTTAACGACTCGTACTGATCGACTGAAAGGAATTACAACTTAACGTAAGTGGTTCTATGATTGAAAATTTGCTTCCGGAATGACAAAAGCTCAACGTGAATGGTCTGCTTAGTGTAAACATGCCAAGACTAAAGTCTAAACCAGTCCAGCGAGCTCTGGATCCCGCCGCCCTAGCCTGCAGTAAAATGCGCCGCACGTAATAACGCCATTTTCGATATATTAGCCTCCGTGACATTGAACAGGAATAAAACATCTTGAGATTGGATGATATGCTTGACTGAAATAGGAGCTTGTGATGAACGATGAAATGCTTTGCTAAAAAAGTAGTACATACTCTGGATGTATAATGTATGATGATATGCTTAACTGAATAAGAAATCTATGTGACAATATGGACAGAAATAGGGATTCTGGGAAATTTATTTGGCTAAATTAGTAAATAGGTACCGTACCCTGGATGATCCGTTTGCCTAATTATTACGGAACCTTGATGATATGCTTGATTTAAACGAGACAACGGGTAACATGGATGATGTGTTAGACAGAAATAGCCTAATAGGAAACCTGTGAACCTAGAATATATATGATGTTCTTACCTAGGTGGTTTTGTTGTAGTATGCATGAGCATGACTACAGTGGCATGATGAATGATGTATGATATACATTCTCCAATATATTGCTAGCATAAGTATATTCGTGCATGAACTTCATAGTATATACCTAATATTTCTACATAGCATAGTCCATATGGTACTCGATCCATGAGATGGATAATGACGGATGCACCGTGAAATTTTACGGCGGTTGTTACATGAAGGAAGGCCGAGTGTTACGGAGGTCGTAATTAAGATGGACGAGTGTTGCGGAGGTCGTAATTAAGATGGACGAGTGTTGCGGAGGTCGTAAGATGGACGAGTGTTGCGGAGGTCGTAAGATGGACGAGTGTTGCGGAGGTCGTAAGATGGCCGTGTGTTGCGGAGGTCGTAAGATGGCCGAGTGTTGCGGAGGTCGTAAGATGGCCGTATGTATCGGAGGTCGTAAGATGGACGAGTGTTGCGGAGGTCGTAACATGGCCGTGTGTTACGGAAGTCGTGAGAGGGTCGAATGTTACTGAGGTCGTAAGATGGCCGAGTGTTGCGGAGGTCGTAAGATGGCCGTGTGTTACGGAAGTCGTAAGATGGCCGTGTGTCTAAGAGGTCGTAAGATAGCCGTGAGTTACGATGCGCTAATAGTTGATAACCACAGTTAACACTTGATTAATTATTATCAGTTATTAAGTCCACGTTGCTAACAATTCATCACCCCAATGCCATGCTCGGTGCAAACTGCAACTGTACAGCGTAGGACATCAGGTTGTGGCCGACGTAGGACTTACGACCATCACTGTGACTAGCTGTCACCATAGATGTTGCGATCGCCGTTGGGACTTGTTAAATAGCTTTAGGACGTACGATCATTGATAGACTTACGATCAGCTTACTTACGATCATCGCCGAGCTCACTTTCATCACAGGTTTTGCGTTTATCGCAAGGCTTACGACCATCTTAGTACTTACGATTATAGTTGGACATACGACCATCTTAAAGCTTACGATTATCGTTGGACTTACGACCATCGTAGGGCTTACGGCTATCATAGAGCTTACGACTATCGTAGGGCTTACGGCTATCATAGAGCTTACGACCATCGTAGATTTTATGACCATCGTGGAGTTACGACCATCGTGGAGCTTACGGCTATCATAGAGCTTACGACCATCGTAGGGCTTACGACCATCGTGGAGCTTACGACCATCGTAGGGCTTACGACCATCGTGGAGCTTACGACCATCGCAGGGCTATCACACTCTTAAACATTGGTGATGCGGTATGCTCAGGTCGACCAACAATTCTATTGCACTTTCAAAAATGGCCAAAACTTAGTGAAATGAACCTTTGAATGTGAAATTTTTTAAATCTAGATGAAGCTGTGAACATCGTTTATAACTGCCTTATGGTGGCATACATGATCATACACTTGGTATGGTCATACACTCGGAAAATCATCGATAATGAATGTAAGCTACGTTGAAAATTTCTGTAAATGTATGTCTATAGAATGTTTGAGAGAAGCTGGTACGATGCATCGAAGCAATTCACGATAATTAAATAAACAATAAGCACCAACACCTCAATAACGACGGTGCCAGAAAGCGCTTACTCAGCAGCGCTGCTGCCGACTGATGGTACTGAATGAATCTGTCATTCGCGCGCTCATTCACCGGACCTTAATTCCATAATTGCATTCACGAGACCAGAGTTGCATATATAGTGTTGGGCTACCTGAAAATAACCACGTAATAACGTTGACCACGAGTTGATTCCGTTGAAAAAACGTTTTATTAACGTCGTTACAACATCAGATGCCTATATAGTAGAACGGGCTCTCTGACCAGAGCTGCGCAGTGTTGTTAGCAGGTAGCATCAGCAATTGTTGTTTTCAGCAATCTGCATCAATTGTTGTTTTCGTGTTGTTGTTATTGTCCTTGTCTTCGTGCTGAAACAATGGGGGGAAATGCTCATACTTGGCGTGGGCGGCGGGGTGGAGGTGGACGAGTGGGCGGCGGGGTGGTGGACGAGTGGGCGGTGGACGGTGGGTGCCCAACAACATGACAGTCCGCGTTTGTGGCGATTACAGCCATCGTGGGCGTCAACATCAAGCAGCTCGAGGCGCAGCAATACCTGTCACTAAAGTCGCCATGCAATACGTACCTGTTAATAAATTCGCTATGCAATACCTGTTACCAACAATGCCATTCAATACATGTTACTAACCTCGCCACGCAATACCTGTTATTAAAGTCGCCATTACCTGTTACTAACCACTAAGCCTGCACGGTGTCCCCAGCTCACACAGTCACGCCATTTTTCTGTATCACTAGCCAGAGTTATTATTAAATTTGCATAGCTCATGTAAAGATATCCATGTCATAGTCCTTGTAAAAAATATCCACGTTTTAAAAGTGAATTAAGGAGAGATTATTGGGTGAACCATTCGCTAGCCAGCACATTTGCTTATGTACAACGATCGCTTCTGTTTGTTTATACTTATAGTTTACGGTATTCTTACAAATACCTTGTGAAATGAATATAATTTTATTCATCTCCTGTAGCTAATATATCATTCTCGATCTTCAAATTTGTTGAAAGGTGCGCCTGAAAACGAAAGAAAGGAATACATTCAGTTCACTTACTTTGAAGTACAAAAGGACATTGATGTGGCCCATCTTTTACTTATCATTAACATCGAACAAATATGTAAAAGCAAAAAAATTCATAATACATGTATGCTCATGAAAACTTGGTGTTATCTTTGCACTTAAATTCTTGGTGAACTTGTGACCAAAGCAGACTGACGATAAAAGTACTAAAATCAACCAATAAAACCATTACTTGTCTTTGAATCATCGATTGTATAAGCATAGTCCCCTGACAACTAGTCACTGAAGTGCTTCTGTTATGGTGCCTGATGTGCACGACTGAGCGGCGCACAGCTGGTGCAGCGTACAGCTGGTGCTGCGTACAGCCGGTGCAGCGTACAGCTGGTGCAGCGTACAGCTGGTGCTGCGCACAGCTGGTGCAGCGCACAGCTGGTGCAGCGCACAGCTGGTGCAGCGTACAGCCGGTGCTGCGTACAGCTGGTGCAGCGTACAGCTGGTGCTGCGTACAGCTGGTGAAGCGTACAGCTGGTGCAGCGTACAGCTGGTGCTGCGTACAGCTGGTGCAGCGTACAGTTGGTGCAGCGTACAGCTGGTGCAGCGTACAGCTGGTGCAGCGTACAGCTGGTGCAGCGTACAGCTGGTGCAGCGTACAGCTGGTGCAGCGTACAGCTGATGCAGCGTACAGCTGGTGCAGCGTACAGCTAGTGCTGCGTACAGCTGGTGCTGCGTACAGCTGGTGCTGCGTACAGCTGGTGCTGCGTACAGCTGATGCAGCTTACAGCTGGTGCAGCGTACAGCTGGTGAAGCGTACAGCTGGTGAAGCGTACATCTGGTGTCTTGGACTGGATCTTTGCTGTCACATCGAAACTTTTATGGCTTAGCGACCTCAATAACTGGGACAGGATTTCCACTAATTACCTAGAGGCCGAGTGGCCCAACATGGGGGCACAGGTACGGTACTCCTCTTTAGGCGCTAGTGGCCCAAATAGGCGCTAGTGGCCCCGCCAGTGGCCCAAAAAAGCGCTGGTGGCCCCGCTAGGGGCCCAAATAGGCGCTAGTGGGCCAAACAGGCGCTAGTGGCCTCGCTAGTCGCCCAAACAGGCGCTAGTGGCCTCGCTAGTGGCCCAAACAGGCGCTAGTGGGCCAAACAGGCGCTAGTGGCCTCGCTAGTGGCTATGGCCCCGCTAGTGGCCCAAACAGGCGCTAGTGGCCTCGCTAGTGGGCCAAATAGGCGCTATTGGCCCCGCTAGCGGCCCAAATAGTAGGCACACGTATACTCCAATAGTGCCCATTCACCCGTCGCGCGCCGCACGCCCCATAAGGGCTGCAGTTCATGGGCACTCGAAACTATTGGCGCGGCCACCAAACTTGGCGTTACGGCTGAGTGGGTCATATAGTGTGCAGCGTGTAGTGTGCAGCGTGTTGTGTGCAGCGTGTAGTGTGCAGCGTGTAGTGTGCAGCGTGTGAAGCGTGGTGTGGTGTTTTGTAAGTATAGCATGTGGTGTAAGCAGCATGTAGTGTGCAGTGTGTGCAGCGTGATGAACCGTAAAGTTTGTGTGTGCAGCGTGCATTCTGTGCACTGTGGACAAGGTCGCGTTCTCAGTGCAGCCGTCACTGTTTTGATGATGTTTATTGTTGATAATGTGTATTGATGTTGCGTTGGTGTTGTGTTCTTGTGTTATTGTTGTGTTAGTGTTCTTCAGTTGTTGCTGAAGTCCAAGTCAGTGGATGAAGGCACCGCCGTGTTGTTGATATTGCCACACTTGCCTGCATTCATCACAGCCTCCGTACAACAACAAACGCGGTTCACCTTGCTTTCAAGCTTCTGGCAGGAATAATGTTGC